ATAATACTTATTTTGCTCTGTTAACGCTCTTAGATGAGTAGCATAAGCTTTATCAACTAATTTACCCTGTTTTTTTTCACAACGGCCAATGATATAACATTAATTGTCCGGTCTGGGCTTTGAATATGCTCTCTATCCTAGGCTTTTATCCTCTTTAAAGCGTATTCATTATCATTTCGGACCGTCATCTACTACTTCAACCTGTTTGAATCCGGCTGTTGTCAACGTATGTGCCAGATTCCCATAGCTCTTCTCGAATTCATAGCGATCCTGCCCATGAAAGATTTAGTTTATCAAGGAATTTCACTTTTGCCAGGCATCCTAAAAGGCTGCTTCCATCTCGAAAATGGCGTTCAGTTTCGCCTTCGCCTCATCTTTTCGTCGACGGCCCCAACAAGTCTCGATCGTTGTTGTATGAACTGGTTCCGAGGCGGGAGCATTGCCGTCTGGGCGTAACGACGCCAGAGCCGTGGAACCATACAACAGGGATGGGGTTCGATGCAAAGCGAGACCCTCTCAACTCATGTCGCTCGAGGGTGACTTTTTGTCAAAGGCATGCACCTTCGAGTGTGCAAGTGATGTGCAACTATTCAATAGGATGCTTCTGCCAGATCGTTTGTCGATGCTGGTTACTGGCAGCGACGACCAATCGAAAACTGAGAATTTTAGATTATGCTTGGCGCGTCGCTGCACCGCAACTAGGAAATGTTGCCACTCGTAATTTATAATTAAAAATGAAAATAAAAGCTGAAACTCTTAAAAGAAAATTGCGATTCTTAACTGACTCTTGAGACACACACAAGTACACGCACGCACAAGGTGTAGGATGAGCATGTGCCTAATCACTCGTTCGGATACCACCACATCCCCTTCACTAATTATCCCTGACCACTTTTCTTATCCGCAAACATGTAGAAGAAGCATGAAATAATAAAAAAAGCATGTTATGAGATGTATTCACTCTATCAAAGTAAGATAATTAAGAACTGATAATTGAGTTTTGTCACAATTCTATAAATAGACTTCTAAACTCCATTAAATTTAGTATATCACACAGAGTATGCTTATCCTGGGTGTGAAATTCAATGGAAACGTAATCTAATCATATGATTGTGGGGCAATTCAATTATTAGTCCTTGATCGTCTCAAACGATATAGGATGAATGTATTCCATATATTTCTTTTTTTCTTTTTTTCTTGCATACCTACTTATATTTTTCGAATTAAGAATTGTTTTCGTGACTACCAGTCCTTCATCGCCCTAGACGAAATAAGGTGAATACATCTCATACCTACTTAAAAACGAAATAAGGCATGAATGCCACCTTAGATGGGCGAAACTGGGATTTGGAAGGCGAGCTAAGAGCTTCGATCATGCTACAATTAATTTGTTCTTTTAAATTACCGGATGCAGCCCTCAGAAATGTTTCTAAAAGGGACGAACGTCTACCCAATTATTTGTTGTTGGCCACACCATTTTCTAAAGATCCTGGCAATGTTTCAGCTGATCATACGGACAATTGCAATCTCATTTATGGCACTATTCACCCACTCCTATGCATCCCATGAGGCCCTTTTGCTTGGCAGAGTCGCCTCCCCTTTTCATACAGACTCGCGTTTATCTTATGCTCGAACTTTACTACCTTTGTACGAATCTTCTGCTTTTACGTCCTCTCTCTCTTGTGGTCCTCGTATTGAAAGGTTCTGTTACTATCGCCCTTTTCTCGTTTGGATTTATTCATCCTAAATGCATACATGTGCCTATGTGTCTTGCTATCGGCTATCTCATCCTGTTCATTCACCCCGATCATACCTCTTGCAAGATTACTTACATCAGAACTCGATTCACCTTGGGTCAGCTAAAGGTTTTGCGAGGCGCTCTATTTCAGGTTTCCACAATGCAAGGCATGGAAGGCCTCATTCTACCGTTTAATTTTATCCAGCTTTGCCGTCTGAAAGGGTTCTCAACTGGTCTATGGTCTGGCGTCTTTAGCTCTCCCGAGATGCAGCACCAGCATCTCTGACGAGGTTCGAAGCCGGCTGAGGTGCGCAGAGTCGAACTGCCCCGGTGTCAGACCCGTCACGGGGTGGGTATGACTTTTGAGATTTCACTTAATAAATTCACTTTTAGGTGGGGTTGATCTCGTTGTCGCAACTTGGTTTTGTGTTCAGGGAGACTATGTAGAACGCACCGAGTCCGAAGTAACCGTGTAACCGTTTCCAGCAGAACGGTTGTCGAAGGATTGACTTCACTTGTCTCTTTGACGAGTTCGTACCTTTGGTGCGGAGAATGGCAAGGCTCACTGATGATGCCGACTACGAGCTCGGCGAAACGTTTGAGAATGTACCAAGTCCACTGTCTGATGCTGGGAGTCATGACAACTACTATGGCAG